GTGGAGAAGTGAAGACTAACCAGTTTGCAGTTTCAGCAGATCATCTTCTGTCATCGATCTGGGATTAAAGTCGCATTACAGTACGTTTCACAAAACAATATATTTGGCCAAAAATTATAATGCGCAATCTTCTTGTGAAATAAGTTGATAGAGTGTGGTTGCCAAGTTTTGGTTCAGACAGCTCAGCTGTTGCTTTTTGGCCCGATCCAAAAAGCAACAGGAAGTCACCAAAACGCAGTGTAAGCTGGACAGCAGGCAAGGGCAGTGGCTGAAATGTGTGCCAACTACTGGCATTGAAATCTGGCTCTAAGTCAGTGGAATGTCACCTTACTGGCAGTAAAAAAGCAAAAACTGGTGAGGAAACCTGTGCAAAAACAACAACGGATAGCTGTGCTCTCCTCCCAAATCCTAAAGATGCAGCGGATTCTCTCCTACTCAGGATAAGCCAATTGGTATAGACGTAGTATGGACTCATCCTACCTACTTTCCAAATACAATTAACTTATTTTCATTTACAGTAAATCAAAAACTATAAGCACTCTTAGGAGCTGACCTTTTTTATGAGAAGCAGCACAAATCACAGTCCAAATGTGTGATAAGTAAGACATTAGTCAAGAGCAATGGGCTGGAATTCCTCAGGAAACATGTCAAAGGCCTGTTGAAAACAACAACTAATGACCGCAGTCTGTTATCCAACAAAAACGACACGCTTCTAACTAGTAACATCAAACTTTATAAATGCAATGAGATACAATATGAATATCACTAACGTGCTGTCTAGCTCTTACAGGATGCATTAAAGACTCAGAGGACCTTCAGCTATGCTGCAAGCACGGATAAAAACTCAGCCTGGAGTCATCAGGCAAAACATTCTGAACATCTGCTGCACACAACTGCTCTAATTTTGATTATTATCTGCATATATGAACACATATATAGTTTGCTGTGTTTCTAACCAGCAAACTAGGACAGATTTAGATTTGCACTGGAATAAACCTCTTGACCTTGCATAATCTCTCTTTCAGCCACCTCCAAGGAAAGTACTTCTTTGCAAAATCCCCCAACATGCAGGAAACAGAAATGTATTACCAAAACATTCAACTCTTCACAGAGGACGGTCCACCAGGTTTTAAAGTGACCTGATGGAAATATCTGAATATTTGTCAAGGAAAGCATTTTTCAGGTAAGATACTAAGCTTGGAAAAATGGTCTGGCTTCTTCTTTATGGAGTATGCTTTGTGAATTGGTGTGCAAGTGTGTTGGGTCTGCCAGACCCAGACCCAGACCCAGACTTTAGATCGCATGAGTATGGAATCGTCATTTCAGAGAACATGTCTCCAATTCCTTTCAGTCCACTGGTGCAATCCTTTAAACCACTGCTTGAGGCTTTGTATTTCTCTCAGTCAAAAGAAGCTGCATGAGGATGAAAGTGTGTTTCTTGAAATGTCCTATTTTTTGCGCTAATCTGAAACCCACATATAAAGCTGGGAGGTCTGTAGTTATTGACTTTGAGGAAAGTTGCTCACCTCTGCACAGCACATGTTGCTCACGTGTCCACAAACCAGAGTCATCAGCATTCACTAACCGCACTCTGGTTTCAGGTGGTCTAACCCTTCTTGGCTGAGTTGCTGTCATTCCTATTTACTTCCACTTTTTTTTTTTATATATTACAACTAAAAATTGACTGCAGAATATTTAGCAATGAGGAAATTTCCTTACTGCTCTAGCAGCATACTATCAAGGTTTCATGCTGGAATCCACTGAGCTCCTGAGAACATCTTCCTTCACAAAGTCTATGTAAACACAAAGTTGGTAATAGAAGTGATTTAACACCTGAATTCAGTGATTTGGATGGGAGACCCAATACTTTTAGCAATACAGTGAAAAGTCCAGTACTTTTAGTGATTACAATTTCTGTATTCCTCAATAAATCAGGATAAATTAGAATGAAGGATCTTCAGGTAAACTTGTCTCTTAGAAAAAAAAGTCCAAGGACTACTCTTTACCTTTTAAACAAGACTAAAGGTTACCAATTAAAAATGTTAGTCTAAAATGATAACCAATGAAAGTCTCCATAGAAACAGCCTGAGTGATTCATAGAGCGTCAGTCTGTGAAATAAATTTCACACTTCAGTGAAACGCGGCCTCTGCAGCGAGATTTTGTTTGAATGTACGAGCGAAGCGTGCATGTTAGAAACAAAAATAAACACAATAAAATCTATTGTTCCGCGACTCTTTGTCGAGATTGTCAGTTGTTAAAATTAGACACGACAGGTGAGAATGATTTATTGTCGTTTTGCTGCTTTTTTTTTTTTTTGGCTGCAATTTCTGAAGCATTGATTTGATTTTTTTGTTTTGTTTTGTTTGTTTGTTTCCCCAAGTACTCCCAAGTGTAAATATGCACCATTTGTCATTTATCAGTGTGTTTCTACAGCTCAAGTAATTGGTGGGAAAAAGCCTTAAAGCAGATTTTATTTTCAACTGTGTTCTGTCTAATCGGCCTCATACCGGCACGCTGCTCATTAGCTTTCTGTAGGGGTTTCGTTATTTCGTCCCCTCTCCTCACTAACTTTCTCATTTGCTGTCATGCAGTTTCTTCAGTCCTGTTTTCCTCTCATTTAATCAATTTCTCCATTCCAGTTCACTGGTAGCAGAAGACCTCTAAGGGATCCCTATCCTCCTGGTTTATCTGAGGTTTTCTCCCTTCCCTTTCATTGCCTCTCTCTGTCTTCTTTTTCCTCTTTCCTGGGAGAAAGTAGGTTCACAACAGACCTCCCACATTCCTGCATAACACACACACTCAAACTAGAGCAAAGATCGTGACTGCTGAAGCCACATAAGCCAAAGATTACAAGTCTTTCAAATGTAACAAGCACAAACGCTCAAAGAAACAACATTAATAGTGCACTACAAATATCACATCATAAATTTTACACTTTTTTGTGACCACACAGCCCTGAGAACACAGCAGCTGGGGGAAATCTTTATAATAGTGAAGAGAAGACAGGGTGGAAATTAGAGGTGAGGAAATGTGAAAATGAAAAAGTGGTGAGAAGGAACCTGGAATTTCACTATCATGACTTCTGAACAGGTTGGAGGCTGTTTTATGAGTTCGGCTTCACTCCTATTGAAGGAAAGTCAAATCCATCCATCTGTGCATCAACCAAACTCGCTGATCCTTCTTTAAAACCTCCTTCTGTTGGAGGAAAAGACCCAGAGAACAGCCCCTTTATTCATGCATGCGTATCTGTCGCCTATTTGCTTTTGTTTACTGGAGTTAGAGTCGTGCACAACGAAGCTTACATAGCTTTAAAACTCCAGCTAATTTGGTAGTGGGAAATGTTTCAGAAAATACTAGATTGAGACAACAATTTGGGACTTTTAAGTATGACTGACTAGCAATCCAATTCATCACACAATGACAGCATTAAACCTACCCTTGTTTTCTTGTCACCTTTCAATATTTAAGAGCATAAACCAAATGTAAAAATTATTTATTGAGTAAATTATTCGATTCCAGTAGCCTCACCCATGTTTGATTATTTCCAGAATAAAAAATACCTTAAATAAAACCTATCTGGCAACATCATGCAGGCTGAAAAATCTCAATAGGGCACAACATCTCCCCTACACCTAAATACAAAGAAAAGTTTCTGATATGGATTAATCTAGAAGTTTAAAATGTAATTTCTACATATTTGGGACTCAAAAAAATCCCAGTAAGAACAATTATCCATGAAGTGGTGAACTTAAATTCGAATTATGACTTATCAAGCTGCACTTCAAGCATTGCAGTGAGAGTACCTTGAGCTGATCTTCTCCATTTACAAACCTTGAGCTACCTACTTCAGTTAATGGTGGTGTTCTCTTGTCTTCGTGTGTCAAGGTCTAGCATGGCTAATGGCCAAAACATTGTCATTGTCAAACTGATGTGGTGGTTACTGCAGCACCCAACAGCTGAGAGCACTCAGCATCTTGTCAGTCCTCTTTCTGGGCAGTGGAGTGGAAATGTTAAGTGCCACCATTACTGATTTCACTGTCAGAGAGTAATTTGCAGATATACTATCGTAATAGTGGGGCATTGAAATCATCACAGTAGTGACATTCACTGTTTGAACAACATTTAGAAGCAAAAGATGAGGAAACTCGAGTCAATCTGCAGTGCAGACATTTGTGCTTCTGTTTTATGTACTACTGAAATGAAGGTAAATAAAAACTTCCTTCAAAATTAAACAAAGATGCTGAGTTAAAGGCACAGTAAAGGATTTCTGAAGTGAGGTTCTTTTAAAACCTTTTACTTGCAGGTGATAATTGTCGTTTTTATGTACTAAATATTCAGATTAGTTTTAAGGACATTAGTTGATCCCAAAGACAAATTAATGGTTTGCTGAGATGGACAAAATTTAAAGCAGACTTCTACAATCTTGAAAGAATCCCAAACACAAAACATCATTGTGGTTTAAAGAATCTGAACCTCTTAAATTATTGTCACATCTGATATCTTGGCTCTTTTACAGGTGTTTTTGTTTTTGATTAAGTTTCATGCTGCTTAATTTCTGTGTGTATTCATTGTATATTATCTATTTTTTCTGTTTACTTCAGAAATGGCTCTGAAAAATAGCTTTATCTACTCCCTTTGCACAGAAACCAATCACTATTTCCATAAAAAAAGGTTACCAATGTTAGCCACTTCCTGGGTGAAACACTAATAATTGACCATGTAAAGCATTTCTGGCCTAAAAGAAATTTTAAAAAGACAGAATTATGATTTTTTTGTTTGTTTTCAAAGTGCTCTCCATTTCTATTAGAATGTTTCTGAAGCTTTGTAAAGCTTCAGAGCCTGATCCCAGAACATTTTTCACAAGGAAAAATCACTGATGACACATATTCACTACAGTTTTGTGAAAGTCCAAAAACCCATTGAGTAAATGAACCTGTTTCAGAGAGAAACCCCTCAAACCTGAAATCCCAATATAAAGCACAAAGGTTTTTATGGCTACCTCCATGAGAGCTTGATGAATGAAGGATGAAGTTTCAGGAGAGACCTCCCATGGTGATTTCTCCTCAACCATGATGGCATCCAGCGTCGCCTTCTCAAGGATAACATCAAAGGATGCATCGCCAAAGGAGAGTTGACGAACATCCATATGATGCCAGGTCATACCAGGACAACTGCTGTACCTGGCACTCATAGCGCTGATGCAAACCGAGGAGTAGTCTATGTTGGTAATCGCATGGTAGCCGGCACCGTACATGTCTCCGCCCAAACTGCTGTTTCCACAACCTGAGAGAAATGGCGAAAAAGAAATACAAGCCATCAATGGGGGACAGAGGGAAACACCAAACATGCAGAGAAGAGCAGGTTATTAACTGAGAAGGGGAAAGATATGTGAATATAGTGGAAAAGTTAACATAACTATTAAGGGACCAAAGTGTTTGGTGCCTTAATTGAATAAATGTGATGATTAGAGTTACTCTTATGATTGGCTGTAGCTAGGTGCAGTATTCTGCAGGACTCCCTCTTGTGTCTGATGAAAAAGACTCAACATTTAGATTAATTGATTTTCAATCACAAGTGGGAACAGGTCGGATCCCCCATTTAAAAGGTAGGGTGCAGTCAGGGTCACAGCTTCAAAATCATTACATTCCCCATCACATCATTCCTGAAGTTTAAAAGTTATTTTAATGAGTTTTCAAAAACAGTGACAGAATCAGTCAGGTTAACCGGTCCTGCCAACGGTCAGTCAGCAGTGTCTTAAGGCCGGTAAGTTCCCTTAAACCCTCACAATTGCAAAAGACAAGGTTGGATTTTTGGGATTTTATTGATAAAGTTGTTTCCTAGCTTTCCAGGTATGGTGTTATTACATCGGTCAACACAAACCAAGGAAACCAAGAGAATTTAGTATTACATTTGTCACATTATCTTTCCTTGACGTCACCAGTGAATGTACTTTTTCTAAATAAAAGATCCACCAAACACCAAGATTGTTTGATGTTAATACTGGATCATTAATAAGATATTTGATTTCATAGAAGTCATGCACACGCTTTGGTGTGCATGACGTGTGTGAGCTGTGGTAGATTTTACAGTTGTCAAAACACACGCTGGCTAAATAATACAGGTTTATATACCACACACAACAGACCACCACAGCTTAGGTGAAGAATGTGATATTTCACATATCAGGAAGCACATTTTGAGGTTAAACTACCTTGCAACATTTCTTGACTCTTCACTTGTTATTTTAACTCAACACAAAACTCATTTGAATTCTTTAAATGACAAAAACATTGTAAGACTTTAAAAAAGAACATTATGATCTGGGCTCATCGTTTAGGGCTAGAAGACTTGACAGGCAGAATTGGAAGTGACATGATAAAAGAAAATTGAAGAAAGTTTCAATTTTCTAAAAAGTAACAAGATGAAAATAACCAACTGAACGCAGCATCTCACCTTTTGGATACAATGAGTCAGACTGTAAATGGAGGAGGAGGAAGAGGGAAGGAGTAGGAGGCAAAGGAAGAACATGAAACAGGAGTAACAAGAAAAGTTTATGCTGGGTATATAGTTTATGCACAATATGTAAAGAGTGTCATTGGGAAGTATTTTGTTTAACTATTTGCTGCGCGGATACATGTGCATGTATTTAAAAGGATCTGCCTGAGGACGTGTGAGAGGGTGCGAAAGGTGTGGCTGGGACTCTGAGAGACATGCTGGCAGCGACACCTCAGCTGCAAACGTGTGGTTCCTTCTTGTTATCACCTTCCTGCTTCCACTAATTACCACCATGCAACAGCTTCACATGAGCATGTGCCAGAAAATCCAGGATGATTCAGTTTGCGGTCTCACACCAAACAACATGTTAGTAACCTATTTAGATGTGTGTTTGCTTGCCTGTGTGCTTTACATGCGCAAACCTTATGTTGCACGACCACAGGAGGCAAGGACTTCTGAACACAGATATTTATACATCGAGAAAATTGAGCAAACTAATACAGGTTGATTTAACAGGTCAAAAACAGAGAAACTGAAGCCACAGATGCAGCCATGCAACAACTCAACATTGCATTGATCAGTCCTGACGGGTAATCTGTGTTTCAAATAATTGAGAAAAATAAAGCATTTTTCTTTTCTTCCAGCAACAATCTTTTTATGCACTTTGTTTGGAGTTTAATAAAAGGACATGAAATGTGCGCAGATGTATGGTGATGGTTGTATTGTTAAGGATTACATTTATTCTTGAACAGCTACACTGCTCTCAGTCTATCCTAAATGTTAATAAACCCAGAAACCAATTACTTTAGAAATTAAAGTGAAAACTTTTGGATTTCCTTTGAGAGTATGTGTGTGTGAATAAATTATTATGAAACTAATAGTGAATAGAAATTTTGTGGAAAAATCCAAAACGGCAAAATTTCACACTTTCAAATCTGTAAAAGTAAGAATAATACACAACCAGTCCTTCCTACTTTATCTCAATCCCTCTTGGCAAACATGAGGTTTTGATTTCCATCCCCTGCTGGACCCCACAGCATGTCAGACGTTCCCTCCACAGGGTTTTCCCCCGTAAACACAGATATGCGTATGTGTGTGTGTGTGTGTGTGTGTCATCTTTTTCCAGGCACATTGCTCTGAGGAAAGGCCGGACATGATGTCTCATTCCTGGGTGTCATCAGGATAAGTTTACTTGCCACACTCTCCTCAAGGTCAAGACTCCTACACTGGGTCAGTGAGACCTGCTGATGGTTTCATGCACTCATAAATACTAATGAGTTACCTACAAACATAAGTCTTAAATTTAAAAATATAAATGTTTAAAAATTTTTTTTTACTTGAAAGGCAAGGTTGTCTCAATTACAGTCTCTGGTTCCTATTTAGGACAGAATATGTACTGATAACCGGATCTCCTATGTCAGCATTTTCCCACAGGACACAGTCGTAAGGCAGATACCTTGAGTACTTCGAAGAAATCAGAGCTGTACTTTTTTCTATACATATTTTCCACTGAGGCTAAAAGCCACTCAAAGGTATAAAAAAGGTCAGGTTTGTGTGATTAAACAAAATAGACCAAAATAAATTATAAATAAATAAATGTCCAATAAACAAGATGTGTTCTTCAGCAAAGAATTATCCATGTGGGGTTTGCAAGTTTCAGGTTTTTGTCATTTTTTTCCCTTACAATTGTGTTTTCCAGCTTAAATGTATGGATAAATAAAACTCTGAAGTGATTTATTGTGATCTCGTGTTCTTAAATCATCAAAACACGAGACCATTTGACAGGGGCGAGTTCAACTTTGCAGCTCTGCAGTGAAGTAAAGAAAGTTCCATCGGTGTTTGAGGTGGTTAAGTTCATCTTGGTGTTATGAGTTTGTCTGGCACAGAATATCCAGGTGAGTCTGGGGCCTTACATGTCTGCAGGTCATAAATAGGAGGCTTTACATTCCTACTAAACAGACTGACTGGATTATTAAAAGCAGAAGAGAGGAAGAGACTAAAGTTAGAAGTGTCGTATAACCTCGTTCCGAATGCCTGTGTGATGGAAAACCTAATCCTGCTCTTAAAATGTTTCATAACACTCATATAATAAACAACTGAACACTCAGCTGTCCAGCAGTTGCATGAGTAAACAAATTGTTATTGTGTTTGCTTTTTTTGTTTCCATTAATATCCAAAATAATTATTTATTTGTGCTGCTAGCACACATATAATGGCCAAAGATGGACCTGGTACCTTGCAGTCCATCAAAGGCGGGTTAAAGGACATCTGGTGTGTGACCCGAGAAATCCTTTGATATTTAAGGACCAGCTGAACATGTGAGTGACAGCTGTGGAGATATGAAACAAGAAAGGAAACCTCTGAGGCAATCCCCAGGAATAATTTAGGATTAGTCTGCTGACGGGAAACACATAGAAAACGGCCTCACACATAATAACATACGAAGCTTAAAATTCAATCTGAAGCTGTGAATTCAAAGATAAATTCAATGAATCAAAACAACAAACTGTATTAATTGAGCCCTTTTTATGCAGTCAAGTGTAAAGCGTTTTTACAGAGGTTAAAAATTAAAAGATGGACATTTAGACAAGCATGATGAAAACAAATTGTAGGTTATAGAACCTAGTTACGTATTAGAAAGTAATTGATTATAAGAATAAATAAATGTGGAAATACAAGAGTGCAGATTAGCAGAAAAGCTAATCTACAATCAACAATCTCCCAATGCAATATGCAATATATTTTACCATAACAATCTGTTTGCTCATGCAACTACAGTATTTACTATGTATATTGTACAACAATAAAGATGAAAATGATAAATTAAAAGTTAAGACCATCCATAAATTACAAAAGCTAGTAAAGCACAGAACAATATTCTTTATTAAAATAACATACAACAGCATTCCTATTATTTTTAATAACTGATATAGCTATAAAATAATGTTTGTATAAATTAAAGAAAATAATAAGTGTTTTTTAAAAAAAACTATTGCTCTGTACTCATCTTATTTCACCAAATACAAAGTGGATTTTTTTTCTTACTAATGTTTATTTAGAAACCTTGTGACATTTTTTTTTTTTTACTTTAACTTTTTTAAAAAAATGGAACTCCGATGGTAACGGCGTGGTTTCTAAGAAACACATCACTGCAACCCACCAACATATTGAGCAGCACTGTTAACCAAAAATCAGATATAACAGGCTTAACATACTCCATCCAGAAATAATTTTCTGTCCTGAATCAATCTATATTCATCTAGAGTTTGTCCAGTGGATTAAATATTTTTTAATACCTGTGCTTCTTTAACTCAAGTACTAAAAAAAAAAAAACCTCCTATGTGATGTGACTGTAAGATGATGTCCTTCCAAATAAACAGCAGATCTGGATGACATGTATGGTCAAAGAGGGGCGGTGGGTGGGGAACCCCTGTGCATCAGCCAGCAATGTGAAACATCCAAGCCGTGAGCCATGAGCTGAGCTGAACTGAGCGCAGCAGTGGAAACTCCATGATGTCAGAGGCATTTGTGGTATTCGTTCACATCCCAGATTGGTTTTGACACATTAATGATGGCGACTAAGGCCCATGCTGATGAAAGGTGATGTTCAAGTGAACACATAGCAACACCCAGCTCAACCAACCCCAGTGCACCAGGGCTCTGGGCAAGCCCGAAGTAAACTGATGCCATGATGACACCCTGCTAAATTTAGCTGCGACTGTTGCAAATGTTAACAAATACTGTAAAAAGCTCCCATGTGGAGTGTATTTGTTTTTGTCACACAGTGA